CCAGGAGGCTGCGGTTCCAGGGGAGAGGGCGAGTGGGAGCTGGAGGGCACACGTGCATGAGGGTAACAGAAGCTGGTGTGATCTGTCCTGCGAGGATGAGAAACCTCTTCCTTGGGCCCCAGTGGAGAGGAAGAGAACAGAAGGAGGAACTGATCCCAGTGTGAAAGCCTGGGGAGGGAAGGGTGCCCTGCAGCAGATGCCAACAGTCCACCTGTGAAGAGGCGCCTGGGCCTCTGCAGAGCTGGGGTGGGAGGGGCCGACCTCACGGTGTCCAGGCTGCCCCAGTCCCACTGCCTGCAGCGCCCTGCCTGGCTGTCCTCTCCCTCCTTCCACCATGTGTCCCTCTCTGCCCCAGTCCCACTGCCTGCAGCGCCTTGCCTGACTGTCCTCTCTCCCTCCTTCCACCATGTGTCCCTCTCTGCCCCAGTCCCACTGCCTGCAGTGCCCTGCCTGACTGTCCTCTCTCCCTCCTTCCACCATGTGTCCCTCTCGGGCCAGTCCCAGCACCCCCTTCCCTCTGGCAGTTCGTCCTTGCTATTGATGTCTTTTAACTGGCTGAGTAGGTGGTAAACACCCGCAGATAATCTGTCCTGCCCATCTGAACAGATAGACCATGTTGGGTCCCTGCTGGAGCCTCTGGATCAGAAGACTTTGGATTTAAATCTTTATTTTTCAACATTGTAGCTGAGTGAGCTTGGGTAGCTTAGTGAACCCTGCAAGCTTCCGTTTCCTTCTCAGTAAGAGACTTAGGGGTGTCACAGCAGCTTGGGTAAGACTGAGCCTCCGCCACCACACGGGTTGCCATATAAGGAGCCCACATTCCTGGCTCAGGATCGAGGCTGCAGGAGCCCCCACCCATCTCCTGTCCCCTCCTTGGTTTCTGCTCTTGCCATGCTCTGTGCACCTTGTGTCCTTCCCCACTTCAAGCGTTGAGCCTGCTGTATCAGCCCCGCCGACCTTCCTCCCTGGAAAACTACTTCTCATAGCTCAAGCTCTGGCCCAGCTGAAGAGCGTGATGCTGGGATCAAGTGAATGAAGGAGCGGCCTGGCCCAGCACTGTGGAGGGGAAAGAGTCGCAGGCAGGAAGGGGTGCTTCTGGGCAGTCGCCAGGCTTGGCTGCCATGTGCAGGACCCTTAGGTGGTCTCCTGGACAGCAACATGCTTGGGCTCCAGCTGCGTGTCGGGAGTGAAATCCTGCAAGAGGGGGAAGGAGACCAGGCACTTCTGGTGGTTTCCCAGATGGGTCAGGGACCCTGTGCCGGGACTTTCTGTTCCCAGTTCTGGTCCTTGGCTCCCCCATCTAGACCCAAAATGACCTTAAAAATAGGATCTCAGGCCAGGGGGAGGGTGAATCCTGAGCACATAAGGCACCCAGGTCTGTCTGCTGGGGCCTAAAACAAGGAGCTGAAGTGCAAGAGAGTGACTGTGGGCCTCAGACCACATGGCTTTGGAAATGTGTAGGCACGAGAGCCCCTGGGTCCAGAGAGGGGCTCAGCCCCCCAGGCTGTTGTCACCTGGCTGAGCACATGGGAGCCTGTGGTAAAAGCTCTTCAAGAAAGAGGGCAAAGAGAGAGAGCCAGGGAGGACCCTGACACCAGTTGGGGTTCTCCTGCAAGACCTGGCCTGCTACTCAGTTGTAAAGTGAACACTAGTGTGCTTTGCACTCATAAAAGTGCCACACACATGAGCTCATGATGAGTGTTGCCAAGATGCAGATTTTGGGCTACTGAAGCATGGCCACTACCCTTCTCACATTCTTTCTTTTTTTGTTTGTGCCAGGGATCAAACTCGGAACCTTGCACTTGCCAGGCAGGTGCTTATGCCACTGAGCTGTCTCCCCAGCCCACTTTCTATGGCTCCCAGTTGGCTCCAAGACAAAGCTCATATCTCCAAATTGACATGCAAGCCTTCTGTGATGGGGCCCCCTTAAGCTTCTTGGGTTTAATTTTTGAATATTATGTGATGATTTCCCCTCTGACAGCATGGGCAGGTCACTGTCCCCACCAACATTCCAGGCCCAGTCACTTCTCCAAGCTACCGTGATGCTCTCTGCCCTCCCACACTGCACACCTGTTGAGCAATGACTGAGGCCCTCTCTCCTAGAGTCCCACTGGCTCCCAGCTGCGCAGCTAGGTGTTTCTGCCAGTTTTGTCCATGTGATTTGTGTCTGTGACTCTCTGGTCCCCTGGGAGCTCCGGGAGGGAGGCACTGCTGCCTGGTTTCCCACTGCCTCTATCATCACAGAGCCTGGCTCAGGGGAAGCTTCAAGCCTTTAAGAAGGGCTGGCACAGGGAAAGCAGGTGGCAAGGCAGGAGCGCAGAGAGGCAGGAGGCCAGTGTGTGGACTGAACCCTTCCCGCCATGCTGTCTCTGTCCCCCCCAGCTAGGATCCAGGGGCCTCAGCACTGGAGGAAATCAGCCTCTACCCACAGGGAGCTCTGGCGTGCTGAGATGGGTGTCATGCTCCACCACGGCCAGCCTTAGTGTTAGGCTCTGCGAGGGTGGCACCTATGCCCGAGGCCCAAAGTGATACTCTGGAGACAGTGAAGGCCCCAATGGGAAGAGGAGACCTGCTTTTATGGAAAGGCTCTGCTCCACCGCTACCCCTGGAGACCAGGCTCATCACTATAAAAAGGGGCCAAGTGACCACCTTAGCCATCTTGTATCTAGTGCACAGATGGAGAAATTGAGTCCTGGAGAGGGACAGAAGGAGACTAGGCATTGAATACGACACCCCATCCATGACGGTGGCTAGGCTGGCTCACTATCTGGTTGTCAGCTGCCCGGGATCTGGCCCTGCAGGCAAGGCCAGCCGAGCTTGGGGGGAAATAACCCCAACTCCACTCACACCTCAGTCACTGGCATCCAAAACCCAGCTTGCTTTGTTTGGAGCCAGCAGAACCAGTGGAGAACTGGCCGAGGTGGGCAGAGGCTCACCAATGTGAGATCTGTGGAAAGAGAAACCCCTCAAGGGCCTTGGAACAGAGAGGAAAACGCTTCGGCATTAGGCAGATCTGAGCACTGGCCCCGCTTGGCTGTTAATTTGCTGAGTGCCCTTGGACAATTTATTTGCCCTCTCAGAGCATCTTTTCCTCACCAATTAAAAGGGATGAGGACATTTCACTGAGTTCTCATAAAGCTAGTGATGCAGAACTTGAATGCGGATGTAGGGCTGCTAGTTCTTTCCCTCGCTCCTCACATCTACCCTGGGGTGGCTCATGCTTGAACACAGAAGGTTCTAGAGAGCAAGAGCAGTCACTCTGGGAGTGAGGGAGGATGGATCAAAGACAGGGTTATCAAGCACTGAGTGGCAGGGGCAGCCACCAGCTGGGAGAGTCAGCCGGGAGGACTTCCTGGAGGAGCTGGTGCTCGTAGGAGTGGGAAGTACAAAAATTCTACCTGCCTGGGGCGTGGCTAGGGGCCTTCCTGAGCAAGGTACTGAGATGGGATGCGGGTCCTCTGGGCCGCACTGTGGGAACCATGGGTGGAGGTTATTTTCTTTCCCTCCTTCCTGCACAGAGAGGGGAAGCTGTTGCTGCCCGAGGACATGCAGTCAGGCCTGGTGGGCTCTGAGCAGGGAGCCCCGGCTGGCCCTCACTCCTACCTGGTGTCTGCATCCGGTGGGGACAGCTGGCCTCTCTCTGTGATGGCCCTGGGCTGTCCCCAGGGTCCCGGCTCTGTATCCTGCCCCACCCGCATTTCCCCACCCTTCCGAGTCCCATGGTGAGCCTGGCTGTTGCCCAGATCAGGGCTGTGGAAGCAGAGCTGGATGTGTCTTCCGGTGGGTGATGTGTGGGTGTTGGGGGGCAGCCTGAGAGTATTCCAGAGCAGGGCCTTGTGGGAGCCAGAAAAACAGTCATTAGGGTGGGCACTCGGGAGCAGTAAGAACCAAAGTTTCTAGTTTGGGCCACACCGCAGGGGCTTCAGCCCACGATCCCTGCAGAGCCGAGGCTGACGAAATGGCTGCCCCCAGCCCATTCCTCATCTAAAATCAACCCCTGCAAACCTGACCTCATTTGCTTCTCTTTTGTGAGCCCCCAGCGAGGAGACATTTACCTTCACCCTTCCTGGCATGCCATGGTCCCCAAGCTGTGGCTGCATCTGCCTGGAGTCCCTTGGCCTGTGAGCCGTCAGGGCAAGGCTGGACTCCTGAGCAGGCCCAGCCTTGCCTTGGTGGGTGTGAGGCCCACAGCGTGGGAGCAAAGACAGGCAGTCTGGAGGGAGGCCCCAGGGCACCGCAGCAGGCAGCTGCTGGGGGATCCAGTCTGAAAATCCTTCATTTCCTCTACCACCCGCTGCCCGCCTGAGGTATGCTGGGCCCTGCTTTGTCGCCATGCCCCAAGCGTGGTTCCTGGAGGTGTCCGGATAGTTCCCCTCCATCCTCCCTGCCTCAATGCCAAGCCAGCTAGGTATCTGTAGGTCTCTCCCTTCTGCAAGGGTCTTGCTGGCCTTCTGCCTGCAGGCATGTCTGTCGCCCTGCAGCGGCTGGCTGTCCGGTGTGTTCCATGCTTTCCCTTTCTCTCTCACTGCCTCCTGCTCTTCTCTTTTATCTTCCTCCTCTCTGCTGTCACCTTCTCTCCAAGATTGCTCTCCTCCCCACCCCTGTAGCTCCTGCCCAGACCTGTTGATCTGCCTCCAGTTTTTCTGCCCCTCTCTGCACCTCTCTCTTCAGCTCTTTGACTTGTCTGTCTCTGACTTTGTCTCCTTCACAGAGGAACCAGGCTTGACAAGGGGCCCAGGCTGTCTTCCTCCCACCCGTGTGTGTCTCATGGGGTGGTTTGGCTGGCTTCCCTGCCTCCAGCTGAGTAAACAGGTCCTCTCCTACTCCTTGGTCATTTCCCCAATTGTAGTGCTCTCTGCGGGTGCTCAGCTCGCCGAGAGCTGTGTACTCCCTTCCCACCTTCCACACACGCATTTGGGCTCTATAGCCTTGTTGTTCTTGCTGGGACCCAGGCCTCCAGCCCCCCTCCCAAAGCACTTCCTTCCTTCCTCTGGACTTACCTATCCTGGGTCCCATGACAGTGGGAGCGCAGCGAGTTCCAGCCCCCACTTCAGTCTCAGAGCACGGAGCTGAGCAGTGGGAGAAAGCAAGTCTGATGGGAAGATTCTGCAGGCAGCTGCTGGCGCTCCAAGGTGATGTCTCCTGGGCCACCTGGACAGCAGCCACCTCCTCCAGGAAGGGTTGGGGGTCCTGATCAAACCTGCCTACCCCTCTCAAGTGCCTGACTCCCTGGGTCACTTGCTTCTTCCCCTCTCACCGCCTTGGCTAGGACAGCCTCAGGCCAGGGCGTTGTAGGAAGCTGGGTTTGTTTAGGTCCAGCCCCCCCTCACCCCCCTCTGTGCTGGGAGGAGGCTGTGGCTGCCTCTCTGAGCTGAGCCAGCCTGCTCCTCCCAGTCGCTGGACCTGGGGTTCTCTTAGATATTTCTCCTTCTGTGTTAGCAGTGGAAAGATGGGTGCCACTGGGTCTCCTTGAGCCCAGGGCCATTTAGCCTTGACCCCCAGTCTCTTTCTTGGACTCCACTTTGCATCTGAGCCCCTTCTACCAAGCCCTTGTCTTCCTAGAGAACTCCATGGCCCTTCATGAGCCCGCTGAGCTGTTGTCCTCCTTCAAGTCCTCCTTTCACTGAGCAC